TAGCCAAAAAAACTTGGCAAAGAGTCAAGGCCGAAAATTCGAAGCAGCTGTTCTAGCTATTGCGAGTAATTTTAAGCTTAAAAGTAAATTGGGTATGGGTGTGAAAAGTACAAGAAAAAAACCATGTACTGCTTTGAGTACAGTTATTAGGGCTGCATCACGGAAAATAAATAGCAAAGATGCACACAAGGTTATAACTTTAGCTTTGAAGAGGCACGTTATGCAGTTAAGAAGGCAGGTGATAAGAAAAGTGTTAAAATACCACGTATCTTACCTCTACCTGCTCAAAGTAGTGGTTCGAAATCTAATACCCTTATTTGCTGACTTGAGTGCAACCAGTGCACTAGCTAATGGTGTAGCTAAAATATTAAAAAGTATAAGTGCAAGCAAGGCTGCTAAACAGCACCTGCAAGAAAGCCAAAGACACAATAAAACTACGGAGGCCATCGCACTTGGGGAAGGTCTAAATCTTGAACCATATAAAACTGGATTAGGTGTCAACTTGAAGCTATATGCTGGAAAAGGTTTGAAAAAAAGCTCAAAGTAAGAGTACTTGCTGGAGCTCTGACGAATGTTGATTTATTAAAATATGCTAAAAAGTTGAAAGTCCCCTTTTTTCGGGGAGTATTCATGCGAAATAAGTTACCAGTTGATAGACTTTGTTATCGTGAATCTGCTTTAGTTAAAATTGATGATAAATATGGTCCTGGAACACACTGGGAGGCGTACCAAAAATGCGGTAAAGATGTTGTCTATTTTGTCAGTTTTGGTGATCTACAACCACCCATCGATTTAATCATATACTTGGAAGGTCCCAATATCAAGTATAGCCATGTCAAATATCAAGATCATGATTCTTATAATTGTAGTTAGTTGTGCTTAAAATTTCTCTCAAAAATTATATTAGCTTATGTCATAGCGCAAAATTATTTACTCGCTTTTGAGAAGTCATGAAAGAAGCATTAACACTTAGTTTGTCTGAAACTTCTTCTGTATTAGAAACATAATGTTTTTCACCTATTGAGTTATCATCGAAATATCACTACGTTCTTGGCTTCGTAGAACTCCTACCATTCAATTCGATTCTAAATATTGACGTCGGTAGTAATAAATTTTAAGTGACTGATCAAGTGGTCATTTTTCCAACAGGCAGCTACAAAATTTGAGAATATTAGATCATTTCTAGTTGATGTATTACAGTCTAACGATATAACGATAACTCACAATAATACCCTTCGTAGTGTAATCACTTGTAGTTATACAATTGATCTTAGACCAAAAGATTCTATAGGCCGTCTCTTAGGTTTTACTAAACATGTTCTTGAAGTGAGCACAACCCACAGCTCAGATTTACCTGTAGCTATTCTCAAACTCAACGCACTAAGAGTTGAGAGTAATATCACTACTGGAGCCGTATAGGCTATACTACATAAACGGAGAAAAAGCTCATACCATTCACGAATTTTTTACAGCTGTACCACAGTGTTATAAAATCATCGAAGAACCATCAAACATTGTCTGTTTACCAATTGCTGGACACATTATCGACCATATACAACTGTGCATTGTTGATTAGGACAGTAATTTAGTCATTTTCCGAAGAGAAGTCATAACCGTAAGGTTACGTATAAAACCTTCATCATAATAGGAATCGTATACAACAAAAAAAGCTATATAAGTAATTCAACATGCGCTCCAGCAGTCAGTCGACAACGAACAGTCAAACTATCACACGTTAAAGACAAGTAACACGTCCACCACATCTAAGCATATTGGACAGTCACGACATCCAGCCAGTTAGAAAAGCCACGTTACGTTATACTGACTTTTCGAACCAACCGAAAGAGTCAGAGAGCTGCTAGTGCTAGCAATATTATTTTTATGGTGATCTCACTCTCGATATAACGAACAACCAGTATGCACTATTGTACGACATGTATGCTTATTTTCAGAATTTTTATTATGGTAAATTTCCTGCACCTTTGCTAAACAGATATGATTTTATAAAAGTCACGCCTTTGTTTGTAATTGATTGCTCCAAGCAAAGTTAGTCATTGAAAAATGGTCCAGTAGATGTGCGTTTGGAATTTGAATCTCATGCTAATTTTTTTACCAATACATAAGCCTACTGCTGAATTCTACACAATCGTATTGTTCAATACAGTTCAATCAGTGGAGACGTTAAGAAACTCACGTAAAACTATAAATGCCATGCGCACAGCTCAATTAACCTCATTTGTCTTCCGACCGTCATGGAGACAGGTCAGAAGAACAAAAAAAAATAATAAATGACGACAAAAAGAATAGGCAAAATTTGAGAAGAGACACACAGAAGATTGGGAAGAAAGAAAATCAAAGGAGGAAGCTTGGAAGTGTGAGTTATTAAAAAAAAATTATTTTCAAAAAGACATTTATCAACATGTCGCATAAGCCAACTGAAAGCAAATTTACTAATGACGTGACACATCAAAAACTTTCGACCAAGGATGATAATGAAAAAAAATCAAGATTACAGAATTTAACAGAAAAGTTTTCAACTAATAAATTATCATTTTTTTAACGTGAAGTTTAAGAAGGATTGTAATTAACGGATTAATTATTATGGTGGTGAGGGTAAAGCTAGAAGGGCTAATGGATAACTCTGCTAACATCATTTATCTATCAACCGTCATGGGACAAGGTCAGAGAGCAGAAAAAAAGAGTACGACAGAAAATACAAAGAGAGTGACAAGTTTGTTGATAGGTATGTCAAGTGGACTGAACAGAAGAAAAAAGAATCAGAAAAAAATAATAGAAAATAAGGGTTGGGTAGAGAAGTATTAAAAAATACAATAGTTAGAAGTTTATAAGCGAACAGTAGATTACAAAGTTGAAATGTAAGGTTTGAAACAGCCTGTCAACGATTGAGTTCTCAAGGAACTAGCCATACTATTACTCCATTCTAAAGGTGAACCTGCAGAACTTTTCTTTAAAGAACCATTTCCATGGCAACGACTTTCAGACAAATACAGAAGAGAAAACTTATGATTGAAACGCTGTTTCTATGGTATACCGTGGGAATCAGGAAATTTCCCATACAATACTATAGGAACAATTCTGTGAGAACACTTACACGATGCGAGGAAAGTGCATGTGTTTGGATCATTGAGAAAACAATGGTTGGAGGGATTTAAATTCAAAGTTCACGGTATTACAGATTTGGGCTATCCTCTGACCAATAAAATAAAACTGGCCACTGTTTGCCCTCATCATAATGGGGTGTACAAGGAAAACTGTGCACATTATAACGTTAGACTGTACAAAAAGTTTCTCCTAGATTGCCTGAGTCTATGGAATGTAATAAAACCATTGCTTTTTAATCACCCTATTTAATATTTTTTCGATTTACGAACTGAACATTTGGCAACACTTTTTTTGGAGAGATAAAATTCGATGGTTGTACCTCACGCATAAGAGCGTTTGGTTAGGGCTCTTATCAAGCTTGTCACGAAATCATAAGAAAGTAGAACTTTTAATCATTAAATGGGTGTATACAGTATAAAAGACATGTTTGAGTTGCTTTAAGTCACTTTTTAGTTATGTTAAGGTCATCTTTTAGTAATCTTTAAGTCTACTTTACGACAATTTTAGACGATGTGGAAGCAATTTTTAAGATATCTTTAAGACATCTACACTTCGTGTCGATAATACAGTGAGATACCATCTTCCAAACATATCAGTATTGGTACAGGTATCCTTCAAAAATCTGATAGCACAGTCGGTAGCGTACCCGTCTGTCACCCTGGAGTCCTAGGTTCAAATTCCTTAGAAGAAATTTTTTATTGAATACATATAATAAAAATTTTTTAATATTTACATCAAGTTTTGAAAAAACACGTGATGAATCTTTTTTATCAATACAACTATTGTAAATATTGTCAAAACCCAACCATTTTACAAGAACGTAACTTTTTTGACGACTTATAATTTTGTCGACAAGATAAGTATCTGTATATTCGGTTTTCTGGAGTTTCTGTTTTCAGAAACCTCCAGAAAATAGATCTGTTATTGATTTTTTTAATAATAAGATGGTAAGATAGTAGAAGCTACTCGTGCTATTGTGGAAATTTCAGTATACCAGTTTGGTGTATATCCTTTTTTAAACATTTGCTGGATTTTGCTCACTCGTACTTTATCATTCAGTGTGAATGTAGGTCTTCTCTTTCCAAATGTTTTGTTGAATATAAACTTTTTAATAACATTATTTGAATGAGCAGCTGATACATCTCTAGGTTTCATAGCTATTATTTAATGCTTTCTATCATTGTAGCTTGCCAACAACTTAGGTAAAATATCAATCCACTTAGAGCTACCTTATTAACTGAATTTTCTTCACATAGCATACTTCAGCGTACAATTAAATCGTTTACATATGGATGCTTGGAGATTACTACAAGTAGAGTACAAATTAGTTTTGTACTTTTGAATAAGACTTGAGGAGTTCGTGTTGTAAAACGACCCGTTTGTAAATTAGTTGAAACCCTCTCCCCTCTGTTAATATCGACTTTATTTGCTGCAGTCATATCTTGACGAGTTTTATTCTTTACGGGCACAGCCCATGCATACTTAGAGAATACATCTATAGCTGTAAGCAAATACTGATAACCTTTATTTTCATAAGCATAAGGTATCGTCTCCACAAGATCAGCTTGCCATGTTTCATCCAAGCCTCGAATATCAAACTTTCGGCGAAGGTAGTTGCGTCTCGGAGGTTTATCAAGCTCTTCCACTACTGCTCTTATCTCTCATAACTGTCTTCTGGAGTTATACTAGATGTATGTGCTACAATCTCCTTAAGTGTATTTATTTTACGCTGTAAGTTTAGTATTGTTTCTTAAAATAAATCACTTAAACTGATCAATAGTAGACTTATTTTCGCTTGTTCATCTAAAATGAAACTTTTTTTTCTGTAAAGTTGTGAGATTTACAGCATTGTAAGGTTGAATAGCTGGTGCAACATTTCACAACCTTCTATTTTCCAAGTCAAATTGACCTTCCGTGGTGAGATTATATCCAATTCCTCGAGGACCTTGACTACCACCTTCCGAATTAGCTGATCCACGTCTGAACACGTTGATGCTCATTTTTACACTGAAGTAGAATTGATAACGATGCTCAATATATGATATTAGCTTCACGAAGCTCCTCAACGATTGGATTCATTTCATTAGTGTGACTAGGATTACCGGCTGATTTTTCTGCCACTAGTAATCTTAGCTGATTTACCAGCTCGTTAGGATCGTCCCAGTAAACGTAGTCCATTTGCATGTTCAGCCTAGCAATGTTAAATGAAGGTATGGACCCGCCTTTCTATTAAATTTGAGTGAGATTAAACAATGGGGAAATAACATTATTGAATTAATTACTATTGTATGGACAAATTGTCTCATTTTTGTCAAATTTTCTTTTATGCGCACTTGACGTTTCCAAGATTTATTTGTATTTAACTAAATTATCTGGTATCATGTGCTTTTTATCAGGATGCTTTTTTATAAGTCACTCCATTAATCCATCAGTCATTGGATATCTTAGATCCGTTATTTGAATTTGATTATTTTTGAAATATATAGGCGAATCACCAAGTACATGTTGTCTGTTTTTTTTCTTTCTTATTCCATAAATTTGATCCAGTTCTGACTCCTTTTATCAAGTATTTGTAAGTATGGATTCATAGGTTCATTTTAATCCATGTCATGCACTGAATAAGCATCGTCACTGTTTTCAACAACGCTATCATTGTCTTTGATAAAATTACCCAATAAAGAAGTAATATCTTCATCATAACTGTTACTATTTGCTGACTGGAACATTTATGTGTCAATATTTTTAACTTTTGGCTTAAAAGGCTTGAAAGGCTCTCTAGGTGGAGATTCAAAGCTTACCAGTAGGTGTTTTTCCTTTTTTTGTCATAGATGATTTTATCCAACTGATCTATAATAGGCTTAAAAGTCTTTACAATCTGTTTTTCAAAGCTTTCCCTGCCTGACTTTAATATTAAATGTTAACGCCTAGCAGCTTTTTTTGCTTTTTCAACTTGACAAAATACGTGTTTTTCCTTACGAAAAGCTTCCACGTTGTCCGCTTGCTGATAAACAATCGACTTATACACACTTAATGACCACAAGTAATATTTATAGCAAAAGACTCAAAACCCCTTTTGTATCACCATCATCCATATCTCTTTCCTTGTCTATTACAACAAACCCATGCTTTCGAACTCCCCAACAGTTTACACATGATTTTTTGGATTCATTATACATCATGTCGCTATCAACATGATTATTATAGATGTGCTTTAAATTCATATCATCTTGTCGAAATATCACTAAGAGATTTAAATTATCCCTAACCAAATGCTTTGCAAATGCCAATTTTGTTTTTCACAGGCAATGTCATCGGACATCATTAGAGAGTTGGGTAGTGCCTTATCGGGAAATATGACTGATTCATGATCACTAAATAAAAAATACTTTATACCATTAATATGCTTCAACACATGTTCTAGAAACTTATACTTTGGCTGATTTAAAAACTTTGAGTGAAAATAAACATTCTAAAATCTCAATCCGTTGAGGTGAGTAATTAAAACACCTAAGCTGTTTGTTATACCGCAGTTTGATGGACCACAAAAAACAGTTCTTACAGTACCGGATAGCAGATCACTATGAATTTTTATTTTCTTATCTTGCTTAACAATTTAGTCGGAGTTCCCGACAGGAGGCTTAATATTTTTTTCTATGAAGCTTATGTTTGCTGTATGCTGACTCAACTCAAATTGGAATATCATAGCATAAATAGTATGCTTTTACACTTTCAAGCTCATGCATCATCGTATTTCCAATCTTGCTAATTAGTTAGTTGAAATTGATGAAACCATGTTTTGTATAATGTTCCCTAAAACTCACGTTAACTGTATACTGACTCAGTTGAAATATAAGACTATAAATAGTGCTCTACTCATAATTTGAAGCTTATTCATGGTTAAGCGCTTAAAAAGAGATGATCATTTATCCTGAAGGATGTGGAGTTATAAGCACACTTATGAAAAAACTGCCTGTAGAACTGCATATACCAGGATATTAGTATTTAAGATCAGGAGCTGAATTAGCCATGACATTAGTTTACGGGAATCCGGGTATCAACTCATGAGGTCAAACTTGTAAACAACACGATGTGGCCTACTCTCAGAATTGAGAAAGCATTGCGGCAAGAAACACTGATGACATAACTCTCGCTCAACAGGCGTGGCAAAGATTAAAAGATAAAGACTCTAGTTTTGGAAAAAAGCTGCTGCTTTTACCATCACCAACGCCATGAAATTTAAATCTAAACTTGGCGTGGGATCGTTTCGTAGTATAAGTTCTAGTAAAGTGATTCAAAGTTTCTCAAAGTCTATGGTTCCAAGTTGTTGTGCTTCGAAAGTTACTAGTTTAACGTTAAAAAAAGCGCAGGAGGCTGTAAAAAAAGTTAGTCGCAAGAAAAATATTGTAATGCCTCGAGTATTGCCTATACCGCGAAAAAGTGGTGGCTTTTCATCATACTTTGTTTCCGCGTTTGCTGGCTTAAGTTCTTCAAATGCTATTACTAATAATGTTACTGGAGTTGTCAAGGCTATTAATGATGCTAAAGTCACTCGAAACCGTTAAATGAGAGTAGAAGGTCTAATAAAGGAGGCCACTCTTACTTAGAAAGGGGCTCTTTTTAAAACCATATAAGAATGGCTTAGGTCTATACTTAAAACCTGGAAAAGGCTTTAAATATAACAAAATAAAAAAATTTCTTACGTGAAACTGCCTTACCAAGCTTTTGCAGACCATGACCTCATCAAGTATTTAAAAAATTTGAAAATACCACAAATCCATGAAGTTTTCATGATAAATGATTTGCCAGCTGATGGCCCATGTTTTTCCGAATTAGAAATAGTCAATCTCAATGATAAGGATGGTCCTGGTACTAACTGGGTTGTCTGTAAAAAGGATACGATATCGTGACGTATTTTGATAGTTTTAGTGACCTAGATCTCCTAATCAATGTAATGCTATGTTTTGTGTAAATGATGACAAATATAGTTATNTATTTGTATTAAATAAATATAATATAACATATTAAAAAAATAAAAACGGAAATAACAATTAGATTTTTAGCAGCCTGTGGTCGTAGCCACGTGGGAACGGGCACAAGCACGAGAGAAGGGGCGTGTAATATCACGAAACTCTGATGAAGGGGAGGTGACCCCGTACCTGCCTAGCTATGAGGCCATGGCTGGCCTCGGAGCGAGGCCAGAAGGAGAAATAGCCCCATACCTGCTTAGTTTACTTACTGTTTACCCACCATACCTGGTCACCAAAGAAGTAAAATATGTCACAATATTTGGCATTGTAATGCTGGGTGGCATTGGCCTGTGCCTTATCATTTCGCTGGGCTGCTTCCGCGTACAGCACTATCAAACGCTGTATGCGTTGCTTTCAGCTCTCTAGTATCTTATTCTCTAGGCATTACTGGGCCGTCAAATAGACCTGTCGGCGAATCGTACCTGCGGCGTATGGTTTCCTACCACTGTTAAGCATTGCGGGGAAAAAACCTTGTTGTAGCATGCCTCTCCGTGTTATAGGCGAATATATGTTTGGGCAGCTTCTCGTCCCATGACCTATGATTGGCTTCGACGAAGGCTCGATTAAGAGTCTTGATCATGTGGTTCAGTCGTTCGACTAGGTTTGCCTACGGATAATACGGTTGTGTAAGCGTGTATCGTATACCCAGGCTCTCCAAGAATCCATCGACATCTTTCTTTTGGAACTTGGTGCCGTTATCTATCAGCAACAATTCCGGGTTACCATGGCAGTAGATGACGTGCTTTCTCAGTGCGCTCACCAGAGCCTTTCCGTTGGCTTGCCGTAGTGGCACAACCTCGGCCCACCTCGTGAATAAATTCTCAATTACAAGAATGTTTTTATGGCCGTGCATCGTCTTCGGTAGGGGGGGCCATCATGTCAGCTGCCACTACCTGGCATAGAGCGGTGATGACTCTATGCCCTATGAGTCCCGGGGGTATTCTCACGGTCTACCTTGGTTTGTTGGCAACCCAAGCAGCTCCACACGTAATGGGCAACATCCTGACAGTATCCCGGCCAGTAGTACAACCGGAAGACACGTGCAAACGTCTTCTTGCAACCAAGGTGACTGGCAGATGGCGTGTCATAATACTCCTGGAGCACTTGATTGTGCTGGCTTTTAGGTACTACCAGCTTCCAGGCTTCAGTGTCATCGAGAGTCTCGTCAACCAAGGAGTCGGAGTGATACGCATATAGGTATCCCCCAACGATTTTCCATCGTGGTTGTCACCGTGGATCATCCCGTAATTTTTGTACCATCTCTTGGTACCAAAAATCTCTAGCAGGGAGTTCCCACACTAGCGCTGCAATAGCACCACTCTCATTTTCCTCGTGCAGTTGCGACAGGGCGTTGAGCGAGCAGTTTTGAGTCCATTTTCGGTGCTCTACCTGACAATTATTATGTCATCGAGGTAGGCATAGGCATAGAGCTCTAGCTCTGGTCCAATAATGCAGTCAATTAGCCACTGCAACATAGCTGGCGCATTATTCAGGCCCAATGGCAACCGTTGAAACTGAAAGAGTTCCTTGCCTGGCACTGTAAATGCTATTACTGGCTTAGCCTCCTTGGCTAGCGGTATCTGGTGATACGTGCTGCTGAGATCAAAGGTAGAAATGAAACGCGCTTTTCTTAGCTTACGCAGGATAGTGTCCGTATGTGATAATGAATATACGTCGGGTGCTGTCACAGCATTTACGTTCCGGTAGTCAACGCAAAACCGATATTTACCATCCTTTTTACGTATCATGAGTACGGGACTTGCCTAACCGCTATTAGATGGTTCGATCACGCCACTTTCAAACATCTCACTCACTTGGACAAGTATGACCTTCTGGATCTCATCCAATACAGGGTAGCACTTCTTCTTGATTAGCCGTAAGGTCATGACCTCGATCTCGTGCTCAACTCATGTAGTGCATCCTAAGGAAGCTTCATGCTCTACGTTGTGATCCAAAAGGGTCTGCAACTCCTCTTGTTACTTGGACGAGATTTCATTCAGTCCAATGGCATCGATTCGGACCTAGACTGTTGCTGACAGTTCTGCTACCTCTAAGGGAACCTTTTTCCCTTGTCCTTTTAGCACCAGAACTCTATCGACAGGATCGTGGACAATCCCAAAAGCGTTAATAAAGTTAGCACCAACGTAACAATCAGCATCTAACTCGGGTAGTACAATGACGTACACGTCCCGTTTAACCCCTCCTAGTTCAAGAGGTAGAGTGATGAGGCCTAAAGTGCGTGGTGGTCGTCCGTCGGCCATCGCCATACTTCCTAGCGTGGGACGTAGCTGACTATCACAGAAGTTCGCTATCTGGATCCCAACTGTTTGCATGACAGTGTGGGTAGCACCGAGATCATAAAGCGCTTGCAGCTTGTACCCGGCTACTTAAAGCTGTAGCCACCACTGGCACTCGTCCTCCGATGCAACTGCAGCCTGTAATGGTTGGGTAGAGAGAGGTGGCGTAATACCCTTATTTATGTCTGCCTCCTCTCATTTTTCTGCCTCTTATTCGGGCAATCCCGTGCGTAGTGGCCAAGGTGGTTGCACTTATAGCAGCGTGGCTGTGACTCCTGCAAATGGGACCTGTCTCTCCGGGTACCAGGATCTCTTTTGCCTTACCCCTCGTTCTGGTTCCATCTCGGTGAGGGCAAACCTGAACTTTGATATCCCTTCTCTTTAGACGAAGGAGGTGAGAGTAATTATTATTCCCGTTTACAGGGACTGTGTAAGGAGTGGGAGCTCTGCTTTGGCTCATTGGCATATTTAGTCAGGTCCGTCTGACGCTTCTCGACGTAAAGAAGATCAAGCAGCAGGTTTAACATGTCCTCGTCAATAGCAGGTTTTCTGACTTTCTTCTTCGTTAACTCATCGACTATTTCTGCCCAGTACTCGTCCATTACATTAAACCCGGCTATCTTAGGAGGATAAGCTAATTTTTTGGCAGCTCCTCGATCGCCTTTCAAAAGATAGCTTGTTCGCTTCGGATGGACACTATCTCTTGTAAACTAGCGCTCAAAGGTTGGGCTTCGCTTATACCCGCAATCCTTGGCTATTTCTTAGCCTCCGTAGCCTTAGCTTTGAGCTTTTACGCCATTTCTGGCAGGGGCCTTATGAAGAGTTTTTAACGCAAGCGTTAATGTGCCGTAACGTTCGAAATATCAGAAAATAACGTCTCTGCGCATGCTCAGAAATCATTTTTGATATTTTTTAAGGATTGCGCATTGCGTTATTATAATAACGCTGGCGTATTCGATCTTTACGCGCTAATTGTTGGCGTTACGTAAAGATTAACGAATAATTTAAGGACTGTCTTTGAGAAGTGTTTTTAATTAAGCGTTAGTTTGTATTTTTATACCAATTTTTAATATCTTAAGTATAATTAAATAAATAACAACTTGTAATAAAATATAATTCTATTTTAGTGCATGTTAACCTGAATAAGTTATAGGTTGATCAATCAGAATATTTATTAGAAATTTTAACATGACTGTAAGAAGAATACAAGCAATTTTGATACATTTATCATTGTATCAATTAGCGCGTATGTAGATGGCGGCATTTTCATATAAGTACTCTTCAAAATATTCATGCCCTTTTTGATAAAAAATATACTAAGTACTTTTAATTAAATATTCATTGCTGATAATATCAATTAATGATATTTTGTCGTTCTTCGTTTCCTGCATTGTAATCTTTTTAGAAATGCTCATCATTATGGTTACTAATCATTACGATATCGTGATTAGGATTTATTCTAAAAAAAATATATCACTCTTTATTGTATGATTAAGAAAAATGTATTTAAGATTGAAGAAAAAGCTTACAAACCCATTCATTAGGCGGAAATTATGTAATACGGAGCATGCAGTAATGATTCTCGCCACTTTTACTGGGTCATAATATAATTTTCGAGCCTTTTTTATTCACAACCATGTGTTAGTTAAAATTCCAATTGTCTGCTCCACTTTCGAATGACACGATGTGTGTTCATTTGTATATCTGGCTTCTGGTGATCCTTCGGCCGCATTAATGGTTGGCGTCAATAAGATCGGAGAGGGTGTATAACCGTTGTCAGCTACAAATATTATGAGATTGAAAATTACATTTATTTTTAAAACATAAATAAAAAAACAATTACTTTAATGTGGTTCAGACGTGGCTGAAAACTTTCTAAAATACTTTTTATAAGAACCCATACTACGAAAGCTAATTAAAAAAGCTTTTTTAGCGTTTTTTTTTTCGACCAACTTGTATGAAAATGTAAGGGAGAGTTCAATGTGTCTTAATTCGATCTTAAAAAGACTAATAATTTAATGCTATTTATTCATGATGTAATTGATTAGAGTTGAGAGCACATGATTTTAATTTAAACAAGTTTATTTTAATAAAATTTTGAGGGTTGGTTGACGGAGCCCGCAGGGGTCGAAGTTCCCTAGTAAAACATCAAAATACAAAATTCTACTCTATGTACCCTTGGAAATAAACCTGGTAGCTTCAGAGTTTAGTGAAATAAGAGGGTAACTAACCTAGTTTTAAGAGTACGTAAAGTATAATTACATATTTTTCGGTTCCATTGCTACAGTTTATCTGCCAGAGTAAGCTTTATATAAGCATTTGTTAATATTTCAATTCACTTATGGTTCAAACCACACCAAACTTTAAAAAAATAATGTTTTGTACTTTACCTAATAAGTAATATCAACCTTCTTGAGCAAGAACATTATTAATAATTCTTAGATTTTCAAGGTATTCCTTAATGTCACAGAAATTCCAAACAAATCTATCATTATTTCGACCAGGACAAATTCGAAGATTCAGAACGACATACTTCGACATACTTAGAATCCACAATCTGTGAAAAAAATTTTTTTTCAATCTTTTAAAAACTTTTGAAATACAACTACATCTATGTATGATTATGTCTATCACTCTGCTTTACTAGATTCAATGAACTTTGAAGTGACTCTAAATTAGTTTAACATTATTTAAGTACGTGCAATGGTGATTTTATACTGCATCGAAAGTAGAAATTTTCTTTCTACTCCGTGAGAAGAAAATTCCTACTTATAGTGCAGGATTGGCAAAAAAATGTAGAACACCAATGAGAATACACAGAGAAAGCCTCAGATCACAATCTAATCACGTTCGACCTCACCTTGGGTAACAAAAACCTGTGATCTGAGACATTAGTAGTATTTATTTCTTGAGTAATGTACTATATAAGCAATTTATGACAATTATTACTATTAGTACGATAACAGATGAGCCATAACAATGATTCACAAAAGCTTCCTCGTTCTCTCGAGGTCGAACACACGTTACAATGAAGCAATCAATGAAGCCTAAGATAGTTGGAATTCTAACGAATCTTTTAAACTTAAAAAATAATGATATTAATCATATTGTACAACGGTTTACGAAAAATTGTTTACTCTTACTCGTTTGATGTTTCTTCTCTTTCTTGTCTTGTCTTGTACTTGGGAGATGTATGTATTCTTCTTGTACCGCAAGAATTGCATCTCAAACTTGCTCAATACATCGACTCATTGATGATTGACTCATTGGGTGATTTAAATCACTAGCTGCACCTTTTTTGGATGAGCCATCTGCAAAAAATCGTAAAACTGCCAATATCTGAAGATGATGTGGTATAGCGGAAGCTTGCTGAGAAGGCATGTGCTCTCTTAAAATTTTAATAAACTGCATAGCCAGATGAGGTGTTAGTCTGAAAATTATTTGAAACTGCTTTGATTTTATAATTTAAATTTTAAAAAATTTCAAATTTGATCTGTTAATCAACGATAAAAGACCAGATATTCTAATAAGAAATTGTACAATTGGTACAAACGCT